AAAGGTCTGCAAAATACAAATTAAATTACAAATTAAAATGAGAATCTTTTGCACATCTTAGAATGGCTAACATTTAAAAGATTGACCAGGCCGGGTGTAGTGGCTCACACTTGTAATCTGAGCACTTTGGGAGGCTTAGGAAGGAGGATTGCTGGAGCATAAGAGTTCGAGACCAGTCTGGGCAACAGAGTGAGAGCCCACCTCTACAAAAAAAAAAAAAAAAAAAAAAATTGTTTAATTAGCCAGGCACAGTGGTGGGTGTCTGTAGTCCCAGCTACTTGGGAAGCTGAGGTGGGAGGATCATTTGAACCTGGAAGGTTGAGGCTGCAGTGAGCTATGATTGTGCCACTGCACTCCAGCCTGGCTGACAGAGTGAGACCCCATCTCAAGAAAAACCCAAAAACAAAACAATTTCCTACCTTTCTCCCTTTTCCCTCCCTTCTTCCTTTCTTCTTTTTAATGGAGATGGGGGCTTCACTGTGTCGCCCAGGACTAGTCTTGAACCCTTGAACTCAAGTAATCCCCATGCCTCAGCCTCCCAAAGTGTGGGGATTACAGGTGAGCTACCATATCCGGCCCTGATAATTTCTTAAAAACTTTTAAACATATACCTACCATATGATCCAGCCATTTCAGTTCTACTTACCCAAGAGAAACTATAAGTCCATATAAACGCTTATACACAAATGTTCATATAAGCTGTATTAATTTTCTATCACTATAAACAAATTATCACAAAGTTAGCAGGTCAAAACAGCTTACGTGATTGTTGACAGAATTCAATTTCTTGAGTTTGTAGGACCAAGGTCCCTATTTTCTTGTTGACTGTCAGCCAATGGCTCCTCTCAGCTCCTGCAGTTGCCAGCAATTCCTGTCAGGGGCCTTCCCACATGACAGCTTACTTCTTCAAAGCTAGCAGGAGAATCCTTCTCTAGTTTGCTTAAGATGGATTCTAATATGACATAATGTAATGACAGCAGTGCCATCGCATCACCTTTGCTATGTTCTATTGACCAGAAGACACAGCTTCTATTTATACTCAAGGATTATATAAGGGTTTGACTCATTGTCAATCATCTTAGAATGGATTTGCCATATCAACTTTTATATTCGTAATAGTCTCAAACTGGAAATAACACAAATGTCCACCAACAGGTGAATGTATAACCCAGTTGTGGTATATCCATACAGTGGAATACTACTCAGCAATAAAAATGAAATGATATATACAAAAGATAAAGAAATCTCAAAATAATTATGCTGAGTGAAATCAGCCACACAAAACAAGCATTTACATTTCATTTGTATAAAACTAGAAATTGACAGTGACAGCAAACCAGTGATTGATAGGGGATGAAAACTAAGGGCAGAAAATAGGAGCAGGAGAGACGTATCATCATGAAGCAGGGGAAATTTTTGGGGTGATGGATATGTTCCCAATATTGATAGTAGCAGGATTACATAGATGCATTCACCTACAAAAGTTTACATTGTGTACTTTAAATAGTTCAACTTCTTCTCTGGCAATCATTCCTCAATAAAGCTGTTTTTAAAAACCTACTGCCAGCCAGGCATGGTGGCTCATGCCTATAATCTCAGCACTTTGGGAGACTGAGGCAGGCGGATCACAAGGTCAAGAGATCAAGACCATCCTGGCCAACACGGTGAAACCCCATTTCTGGTAAAAATACAAAAAAATTAGCTGGGCATGGTGGCACGTGCCTGTGGTCCCAGCTACTCAGGAGGCTGAGGCGGAAGAATTGCTTGAACCAGGGAGGCGGAGGTTGCAGTGAGCCGAGATTGAGTGAGCCAAGATTGCGCCACTGCACTCCAGCCTGGGTAACAGAGCAAGACTCCGTCTCAAAAAAAAAAACCTAGTGCCATCTTCCAGAATCAACTCTCTCAAGTTACTTATGCTTGTTATTAAAGGTTCCTTTTTTGTTACTTTTGAATTCACTTATTTGATAAAAATTTCCAAGTTTATTTTTTAACAGTAGACTCAAACACAGTGAAACAGGAGCTTATGTTTGAGGCACTGTGGCAGCTGTTGGAATGTAGTCCTATATTATCGAATATTGTTAGGATGGAGTCTGTCTGGGTGGCTTCTGCTTTGATGGTTTAATGGGAGAGGCAAATGGGCAAACAGACAATTCCAATAAAACTGCAGACACATGCACATACACTATGGTGCCCACAGAGTGACAGCCAGAGAGCCAGAGAGCGACCCAGCCTGGTTGGGGTATGTGGAGTGCAGAGAAAACTCTGGAAGTGATGCCTGAGTTGAGTTGTAGGGGCTGAATAGGCGTTAGCCAAGGAAAGAGGGGGAAAAGGAATCCTAGGTAGAGGAAATGGCACAAGCAAAGGCAGGGAAGCAGGAGAATGCTGTTCTGTGTGGGGGAAGTACAGGTTCAGTAATATGAGGCACCACGCTGTGGTCTGAATGTTTGTATCCCCCCAAATTCACATATTGACATCCTAATCCCCAAGGGAATTGTATCTGGAGGTACCATTCCTCCAGTATGGCCTTTGGGAAATTATTTGGTCATGGGAGTGAAGCCCTCATAAATAGGATCTGTGAGGTCTAAGAGAGACCCCTCACCCCTTCTGCCCTGTGAAGTTATAGTGAAAAGATGGCCATCTATGGAAAGGAAGCAGCCTCTCACCAGATACCAAATCTACTGACACCTTGATCTTGGATCTCCAAGTTTCCAGAACTGTAAGAAATACATTTCTACTGTTTGTAAACCATCTAATTTGATACTTTTTTGTAGCAGCCCAAATGGACTAAGACATACAAGGTGGGGAGCTGCAGAAAGAGTGGGTGAGGGCTGACTCATGAAGGGTATTATGATTTGGACATTATCTATTAGGCAGAGTTTCTTTGAAGGATTTTAGGAAGGTGAGTGATGTCATCAAAGAAAAGTATAATATCATCTATCAATTAAAAGGGCTTCGTAATACAGAGTGATGTCAAGGACAGGGAGGAGAACAGGGACTCAACATATATAAAAGGAAATACTGCAAGTCCTAGTGATTAACTGGCCATAGTGAAAGAGAGAAGTCTACAATGCCCCCGAAGTTTTTAATCTTGAGATTGTTCCATTAACTGAAAGCAGGAACAAGAGGCAGAGGGAGGTCGTATGGGGGTGGGAAGAGGAGGAGGAAATGAGCTTAGGTTGGGGCATGTTGCATTTCAGGTGCATAGGAGACATGGAAGGGAAGAAGTCTTTTAAAACAGGTGGAAAAAACAGAATGAGAACAAGAGCAGGTGGTAAAACTCTGATAGTGGCAAGACTGTCCAAGAAAAGTGTATAAAAAAGAGCAGTAGGCTGGATCCCAAAAGAACCTTTCACCAAGGGCTAGGGGTAGAAAGGAGGTCCCTGTTGGAGATTCACAGTAAATGGCCAGCGATATTGTGAAGGTAATTAAATAAATCCCCTGTTCTACTGACTAATGTCTTTACTCCAAAAACTTCTGGTCTTCCAATCTCCCCTCAGCACCCTGCTTCCATCCTCAGGTCTCACGGCTGCAACAAAAGAAAGCAACCAGTGTAGCTTCCCTGTCTTAAAAGAAAGAGATCAGATTGAATAGAAAATAGAATATGTGGTAGCTGATATCAAGGAAATATATTTGGCTGACTGTCATGGTCCTTTGGGTTTAATTTCTTGGTGACTGCTGTTTATCTGTTGATAGCCTACGTATTTGTCCTCCTAGAATGACAGAAGGTCAAAGGCCTGGCTTCTGTTGGTGGGATCATCGGTAAAATGCATCTTTCAACTATATCTTATGGTTTCACTGAGGCATGGGATGGGCCTCTCAGAACAGTTCCTATCCTTGGGTGTAAAAAGAACTCTCCTCATTGTTATCAAGCCGTGAGTTGGCTCATGGCTATACTTTGGCATGGCAAAAGGAGGGGGAAGTCTGGCTGTCAGAATGTTGTGGTTCTGGTTACAGGGGGAGAGCAAAAGTTAGGCACTATAGTCAGTTGGGGCCCTACTGTCTGAGGTAGGCTTGGAAATATTTAGCTAGCCAGGAAAGTGCCAGGGGACTAGATACATGTAGCAGGGCTTTCTTTTTTCTGCGGGAACTAAAATCAGTTTCCCTAGAAATGAGAGAGATACCTATTTAACAACTATACCCAAGGGCAGACACAGATGTGTATGGCATTTTTGAGGAGATGTATGTGTGTAGGTATGTAGGCCTTGGAATAGGTCTCTTTGAAGCCATGAAGCCATGGCAATAAACATTTCAAAGTAAGAAGATGATCAATAATATCAAACATGAGTTTTGGCAATAAGAAAATCACTGGTGATCCCTGCAAATTTTAGTGGAGTAGAACGAGTGGAAGATAGACTTCATTGTGCAGTAGATGCAAATGTGAAATGAATGAAAGACATAAAGAGAGAGAATGATAGGCTACTATCAATAAATCTGACTAAGAAACATGACTGAATAATGGTGAGGTAAGCAGAGATGGAGGGCCAAAGGCAGAGGCAGAGAATAGGAGATACCCAAGCATACGTACAGATTGAGACAACATGGCAAAAGGAGACAGAGAAAATAAAGTTAGAGTATGAGGAGATAGAGGGTCAAGGTTGAAGAGAAAATGGGATGTACTCTGAGATAAAACAGAAGAGGAACATTTGTAAATAGTGACATCTTATTCCTTGAATATGGAGAAAACAAGACAAGAAACCAGGCAGATGTAGTTCCATGTATAGATCCCTCTTCTCGGGTTCATGTCCAGCCTCTGAAGCTCTTAACTGCTCCCCTCCTATCCCAGCCTCTTTCCAATCCATTTCCTGCCTGCAAGACACTGTGGGAGTGTAACCCCATTGATTAGCATATAGCAATGAACACCCCTAACTTGGGTACTTAGTTCTAAAGAAGCAGCACTGAAAAAAGCCAAAGCAACATCTTTACTGATTTCTACTTATATTTCAAATTTGTACTTGCAGTGAGAGGATGAGAACAACTTGAAAAAAATGGAATCCAAGTTCTGAGAGTCTTCCAAAATTGCTCCACAATGCTGGGCTGTGGTGGAGGCTGTTTATTTTTTAAATCTTGTGTTGCTTAATCTTCTAAAGTATTTGTATTGAGAGTGTTGGTCCAGGAGATCAGATCTTCCACTTCCTCTTCCCTGGGCTCGTCTGTGTCATTTTCATATTGTGAAGCATATAATGAATAGTCATTCTTCCACTCCTCCTCCTCCATTTCATAAATGTCTCTGATGCTATTTATTGCAATTGGTGACTCAAGAAAAATTTCATCTGTGGTGGGAATTATGAAAAATAGAAATTTATTAGTTATAACAGGAAAAACAATGAAAAGAGGAGCTCCTGCATTTGGAGGATAATGCCAAACACCATCTGAATGAATGCGAGCAACCTTTTTTAAACTTTCTAAACTTCATGTTTTATAAGTAACTTTATTTGTCATAAATCATTCTTTCCATCTTGCTCAATCTTTTTATGCTTTGTTAGTCCAGTCTTTAACATATATTTACTGAGTCCCTGCTAAGGGCCAGTTGATGTGCAAGGGAAAAGCTGCTTTGGGAGCCCAGGGAGGGAATCACTATGTCTAAGTGAAAACAGACTCAGACTTTGAAACATGGGGAGCAGTCTGCTAGACAGAGAAGGAGGTCAGAAAGCATTAGATAGAAGAAACAGCACACATCATATAAGCACAAAGGTATGAGAGGACTTGACAGGGTTGGGGTGATTACAGTGGATGCCCCCGTACTTCCACTGTGCCAGGTGCGATGCTAAGCAGTCAACAGGTATGCTATTATTTAACTCAGACACAACCCTCATGATGGGCAGGTATTATTATTATTTTACAGCTGAGGAAACTGAGGCTGAGCAACCTATAGTAACTTGATCAAAGATATCCAGCTAGTAACAAGACTCATCCTAGATTTGTCTATCCAAAAACACAATGTTATAGTACACAAAAAGTTTTGTCGAGCTGGAAGGGAGGCTGAGGCCAGATCAGGAAAGCTTCATGTGTCATGCAAAGGACTTTCATCTTTATCTTACAGGCCATATAAACAGGAAAATAAACTGATGATACGTTCCAAAAGAAGACTATAGATCTAATGCCTATGTTTCTAGATCTATATTTCCACACAGCATGGGGATCTTGCTTTCTGGGGATGAACTCTAGCTGGCACTATTGTGTTCTGTTAACTCTAAAAGATCACTGCATTCTCCTCCCTTTTTCCTGGTTGCCTCCAGGTTCACTGACTATTATGGGTTGCAGGACAAATTCAGTTTGCCTTCTATGTTTATTTCCCTCACTTACATACGAAATGAACCCTGTAATATTTGTTGCCTTCTTACATTATAGACTTGGGCTACAAGTGACTTTTTTTTCTGTCTTTGGTTTATAGAAAGATACATAGAGAGGCCAGGCATGGTGGCTTACACCTGTAATCCCAGCATTTTCTGAGGCCAAGGCAGGTGGATCATTTGAGGTCACGGATTTGAGACCAGCCTGGCCAACACGATGAACCCCTGTCTCTACTGAAAATACAAAAATTAGCCACGTGTGGTGGCAGGAGCCTATAATCTCAGCTGCTCTGGAGGCTGAGCCAGGAGAATCGCTTGAACCCAGGAGGCGGAGGTTGCAGTGAACTGAGATCAAGCCACTGTACTCCAGCCTGGGTGACAGAGTGAGACTCCATTTCAAAACAAAACAAAAAGGAGAGAAAGATACACAGAGAGATTTGAGTTTACACAGTTGCCATTATCCTATGGGTATCCTGAAGCCTCCAGTGATTTTTAATTTTTGTACTTTTGATACTAATATTTAGTTGTAATTAGTTGAAGACTAAATTCTGTCTGTGCCTTGACAAAAGCATCTACTTTATTTTCCATGAACATATTACTGATGGACGAACTCCAGCTCTTTCTAACCATGTCTGGGCCTTTCTGACTCCACATGCCTTTGATTACAAGAAATATAAAGCCAAGTCAACCCAGTTTAAACAATAAGAGAATGTTTTATTTCACATAAGAGAAAAGCCAGAGTGGAGGGCTGGATTGACTGTTGCAGTGACTCCACAATGTCACAGAGGACATAGTTCTTTTCACTGCATGCCTGTCTAAGGTGTTGTCTTCATCTTCAGGTGCACAGCAAGAGAGCTACGGCCATTCTAGTAACCACACCAGACACAGCAAAATCCAGAGGAAAAAGTGGCCTTCTTGCCAAACCTGACAAAAACAAGCAATGGGGAAAGGGTTCCCTATTTAATAAACGGTGTTGGGAAAACTGGCTAGCTGTATGCAGAAAGCTAAAACTGGATCCCTTCCTTACACCTTACACAAATATTAACTCCAGATAGATTAAAAATTTAAATATAAGACCTAACACCATAAAAACCCTAGAAGAAAACCTAGGCAACGCCATTCAGGACATAGGCATGGGCAAGGACTTCATCAAAACATCAAAAGCATTGGCAACAAAAGCCAAAATAGACAAATGGGATCTAATTAAACTCAAGAGCTTCTGCACAGCAAAAGAAACTATATTAGAGTGAAGTGGCAACCAACAGAATGGGAAAAATTTTTGCAATCTACCCATCTGACAAAGGGCTAATATCCAGAATCTACAAAGAACTTAAAAAATGTGTAAGAAAAAAAAATCCATCAAAAAATGGGCAAAGGGTATGAACAGACACTTCTCAAAAGAATACATTTATTCAGCCAACAAGCATATGAAAAAAAGCTCATCATCACTGGTCATTAGAGAAATGCAAATCAAAACCTTATTGAGATACTACCTCATGCCAGTCAGAATGGCAATCATTAAAAAATTAGGAGACAACAGATGCTGGAGAGGATGTGGAGAAATAGGAACACTTTTACACTATTGGTGGGAGTGTAAATTAATTCAACCATTGTGGAAGACAGTGTGGTGATCTCTCAAGGATCTAGAACTAGAAATACCATTTGACCCAGCAATCCCATTACTGGGTATATACCCAAAGGATTATAAAACATTTAATTATAAAGACATGTTTATTGCAGCACTGTTTACAATAGCAAAGACTTGGAACCAACCCAAATGCCCATCAATGATAGACTAGATAAAGAAAATGTGTCACATATATACCATAGAATACTATGCAGCCATAAAGAGGATGAGTTCATGTCCTTTGCAGGGACATGGCTGAAACTGGAAACCGTCATTCTCAGCAAACTTACACAAGAACAGAAAACAAAACACCAAATGTTCTCATTTATAAGTGGGTGTTGAACAATGAGAACACATGGACACGGGGAAGGCAACGTCACACACCGGGGCTTGTCAGGGGGTGGGGGGTTAGGGGAAGGATAGCAGGGGGTGGTAGGATTGGGGAGGGATAACATTAGGAGTAATATCTAATGTAGATGACAGGGGGATGGATGCAGCAAACCACCATGGCACATGTATAGCCATGTAACAAACTTGCATGATCTACAAATGTACCCCAGAACTTAAAGTATAATAAAAATAAATAAATAAAATTTTTAAAAGGTCTGGTTTTTAAGAGTGGATGTGGGAAAACCATCCCCTGAAGCACCCAGCATGTTTCACCTCAGGCGGAATCCTATCACATTCCATTTCTTTTATTTTTCTTTTCTTTTTTTTGAAGCAGGGTTTCACTCCTGTCACCCCGGCTAGAGTACAGTGCCAAGCTCTCAGCTCACTGCAACCTCCACCTCCCAGGATCAAGCAATCCCCCCACTTCAGCCTCCCAAGCAACTGGGACTACAGGCATGCACCACCATGCCCAGCTAATTTTTGTGTTTTTAGTAGGGACAGAGTTTTACCATGTTGGCCAGGCTGGTCTTGAGCTCCTGATCTCAGGTGACCAGCCCACACTGGCCTCCCAAAGTGTTGGGATTACAAGTGTGAGCCACTGTGCCCAGCCCCATTTCTAAACTAATTACTGGGGAGGGAAATGGGATCACTGTGATTGGCCGACATCAGTTGCTGCCGTGAATGAATGCTGGGAATCAACCACCTTGACTATTTGCCCTCTTAATTCCTGTCCTGTTAAAAACTCCCAGGAGGCAAAAAAAGAAACCTGGCTAGATTAGCAGAGTATAATGCAAAACAAATATCAAAATATTTCTTTACAACATAAAAAATATTATTTTGAATTTTTCTCCTCCAGGAAATCTTAAGCATTATAAATCCCTCTGAGACACCTTGGATTTGGTGGTTGGAATCAGTAATAAAGATGGGGATTTTGTTACTTTGTTAACAAAATAAGTATGAAAGTACAAATTCTAACTGCCTTATATTTTGCATGCCTTTCTCGGGTTGGATCATGGAAACTCTGCCTCTGATAATTTATTTTTTAATCTGAAAATAGTTTAGCTAATACGGTACTAAAATCTGTGCTGACTGATGGGTTCTGATGGTTGCCAAATGGGTTATTTCTATTCAGTTCTGTTTTCAGTCTGGGTTCAGTTACAAAAACAGAGCCACTACAAGTAATGCAAGAGTGAGAGTCTAACACAGGAATTCAGGATCATCCAGGTATGGGAGGACCCAGGGGAGTGAAGATCTGGAAGCTACAGCTAGAGAATTGAAAAAACAGTCGTGACCCACTTTAACCTGAGGCACTGACATGAGTGAGAAACAAGGAGCTCAAGGAGTACAAGGAGCTGCACACATTTAGCCACCCAAAGTGTGAAAAGAACAATGAGTTCATGGAGATATCTGTGCAGCCACTATGTCTGTGAAGTGAGACTGTGGAGAGACATGTGAAAATACCATATGTGAGGAACCCGCCATGCTTGATGTGAACAGCTTCCCAAGCATAATGGCTTCACTTCCCTCCCACCTGCTAAATCTCTGGTGAGTTTCTCCCATTGGGAAACTATGACATGTGATCCTTCTCTCCAAGAGGAACACACAGTTATTTCCTTTTCTGAGTCATACTTTCCTTGGATATCCTATATAAGTTCACTCTTGCTGCATAGTAACCTCTTGCTATATGATAAACGACCACAAAAGCTTAGTGACATCAGCAATATATTATTTGTTTTGGTCACATGTCAGCAGGCAATAGTGGTTGGCTTCTTTGGCTGGGGAATGGCTGGGAAACTTGGCTGGACGAGCTCAGATCTATGCCTTGAATCTTTCTCTGTGATCAGAGGGCCAGTCCAGGCAGGCTCTTGTGATGATGGCAGAAGAGAAAGAGAGCAAGCCAAATCATGCGCATCCTTTCCAAACCCTGGGGGCACATTACACCCACTAATATTCCATTGATGAAAACAGGGAAAAGCTCAAAGTCAAAGGGCAAGGAAACATATTTTGTTCATGTGGGTGGAGCAGGAATGAATATTTCTGAACAATAATCAAATTTACCACAACCTCTCAGGTATATTCTCTTCCAGAGTAGACATAAAGAAGAGTCTATTGCATGATCAAAGAGAACAAGGCTCAGCACTGGAGAGCTAACCAGTTTCTGGACATTAAACTTCAAATGTTATCTTTTCCAGCTTGCCTTTTTCCCAGTCATCATGGGTTTTCACCTTTTTTCTCCCCTAAAACCACAAGGCAGATAAAAACATGACAATTCGACTTCATCCTACTATTTATTTATTCATTTTTTCATGAGCATTGATAGCTACTGTGTGCAAGCACTGTGCTATGGAAAATCAGGTGAGCAGTCCTTTCCCTCAAGAACCTCACTCTTTTTCAAAGGAGACTGGCAATAAAAAGAATGACAACCAGCATGTGTGCTGAACAGACTCCAAGGTAGCCCCCAGAATCCCTGCAGCCTGGTATTTACACCTTAATGTAAACTCCTCCTTTCTGAGTGTGGATGGAACCCATGACTTCTAACCAATAAAATATGATGCAAGTGATGAGGTCTCACTCCCATGATTGTGTTACATCATATACGACTCCATCTTGCTATCAGACTTGCTTTAAAGATTCTTCCTGTTGGCTGGATAAAGCAGGAGGCCTTGCTGCAGGGAGAGCGCACATGGCAAGGAACTGCGTGCAGCCTTCAGCAGCTGTGGGAAGCCTCCAGCATATACCCAGCCAGAAGCCAGGGTGTCCATTCCTAAAGACAGAAGAAAATGAATTCTGTGGGCAACCTCACTGGGCTGGGAAGCAGATTCTTCCCCCATTCAAACCACTAGGATGAGAATGCAGCCCAGCTGATGCCTTGATTGCGGCTTTCTGAGACCTTAAGCAGAGGATCTAGCTAAGCCGTGCCTGTACTCCAGGCCCACAGAAACAGTGAAACAATAAATGTGTGTTGTTTTAAAGCATTCAGCATGTGCTAATTTGTGACACAGCAATAGCAAACAAATAGAGCATGACATGGCTATGGTAGAAGTGCTATGATGACCCACAGAGAAAGTTTCCTAGAGAAGGAAATACCTGAACTGAATCTCAAAGGATGCACAGGTATTAGAAAGGAAAGAAGGGGAGAGAAGAGCATTTAGAGTAGGGGTATGAGAAAACACAGTGTACTGCTCAAAACTGTTTTTGTGAAATGAGGTTGGGAACAATCATGACCCAATAGATTAGTGTAGCATTTAGGGTGTGAGGGGGAGAGTGGTAGGGAATGTCACTGCAGAGGCAGAGACAAGTATTAGAGCATTAAGGACTTTCCATGTCAAAGAGTCTAAATGTCATCCTGAAGGACATGGGAAACGATGAAAGGATTTTAGACCTGGCAAAAACATAAGCAAAGCTAAGCTATAGACACATAGCTTTGTCACCAGTCTGACAAAGCATAGACAGAAATTACTGTGATCACATCAACTGAACTAAATGATCTCTTCCACTGGTGAAGATGGTAGGGATGTGGAAAGAGATTGCAGAGAGGAGTAGGGAAATCATGGAGAAAACAGAGAGTAAGGCTGGAGAAGGCAACATTACCTACCTTGCAGGTACCCTGAAATTTGGAAGAAGGCAGAGCCGAATGGAGAAGGCTGAGGCTGATAATACAGAGTGAATCTGAGTGGCACACCAAAACAAGTAGGAGGGAGAGAGGTCGATACTGAGCAGGGAAAAGAAACTTGGAGATACGAGGGCAGGGCCCTTGGAAAATCACTGAAAGAAGATGATTGCCAGTGCCTGGCATTTATATGCTGTTACGTTTAGTGGCCAGGTGACAGGAAAAAACAGTAACTATTATTTTATAGTACTTTTCAGTTTACAAAGAAATTGTATGTACATGAAGTCATTTAGTCACAAGAATCCTGTGAGTGAGGGTGGAATATTAGCAACTAGGATTTGTTGAATATCTTCCATGTACACAGTACTAGCTGAGGATAAAAAAACTAAGTTCAAGGGTTGAGTGACCTTTCCATAATAGCACAGAACTGGAATCTGAACCTAAGTTCTCTAACCCCAAATGTTGTGCTTTCCCCTCTATACTAGCTGACTTCCATAAGTTACCAGCTCTCTCTTCCTGCTGAAGACTTACTCGCAACCTATCCCAACAAGTAAATTGTAATTTTTAAAGGAGCACACAAACCAACTCAGCACTGTTTCTTTCTTTTCAGCCATATTGCATATGTCTTTGAACATACAATGAGTTTTAGGGATCAGTGTATTCATGCTCTGTGTGTTTTGGCTGCTTTTTCATATTTTGAAATTTAGCCTTAAAATTTCAAATTGTATATTGACTTAATAAGGGTAGTAAGCTTGGAAATGTAAGTAACTCAATTTTTTCAAAGTTCCAATTCCTATGTGAATAATTTACCAAATTAATTTGGAAAGCCAGAAAAAGTTAAAGCAACGCTAAAAGGAGAACACAAGAACTAGCCCTCATATATTTGAACTTATATAAACTGAAAAAAAGCTTAAAGCTATGCATATTATTCATCATTATTCAACATGTTAATTACAAAAGCAAAACAAACAGGGTGAATCAATTTACCTAGAATTGGGCAGAGCTTAATTCCTTCCATGAAGTGATTGACTTCTTGAGGCATTCTATTTTTTCTAGCAAGCTGACACTTGATAACAGCATACCTAGACAGAGAAAAAGAAAAATTAAATTTCCAAATGAATTTTTGGTAAGGGTATATTACTTCTGAGAAAAATATGTGAAACAAATGAAATGAAACATAAAAGTAGGACAACAGGCTTTGAATATGGAACCATTCTGAGTGTTGACTAATTTAATGGTAAAGTAAAATGATTTCAATATGTGCTTTCCAACAGAACAGTAGTTGGAAAAGCAAATTATGACGTAAGATTACTATTGTAAAAGTAATAAAAACATCATGTGGTATAGCAAGGTATATTAGTTTCCTTGGGCCACCTTAACAAATAACCACCAACTTCGTGACTTAAAATAACAGAAATTTATTCTCTCATAGTTTTGGAGGCTAGACATCAAGGATCAAGGTGGCAGCAGGTCCTCCCTTCCTCCCTCGGAAATCCCTAGGGAAGAATCTTCTGTTGCTTCTTCCTAGCTTCTGCCAGCTCTCAGCAATTCTTTACGTTCCATGGCTTACAGCTGCATCACTCCAATCTCTGCCTCCAATGTCACATGACCTTTCTTTCCTGTGTGTGTCTCTGCAGTTCTGCTCCTCTTCTAAGGACAACAGTCATTGGACTTAGGGCCCACCTTCATCCAGTACAGCCTCATCTTAACTACTTACTATCTACATCTGCAGGGGCCGGGCACGGTGGCTCATGCCTGTAATTCCAGCACTTTGAGAGGCCGAGGCAGGTGGATCACAAGATTAGGAGTTCAAGACCAGCCTGATTAACATGGTGAAACCCTGACTCTACTAAAAATACAAAAATTAGCTGGGCATGGTGGTGAATGCCTGTTATCTCAGCTACTTGGGAGGCTGAGGCAGGAGAATTGATTGAACCCGGGAGGCGGAGGTTGCAGTGAGCTGAGATTATGCCACCATCTATACTCCAGCCCAAGCAATAGAGTGAGACCCTGTTTAAAAAACAAAACAAACAAAAAAAAAACCTTTATATCTGCAAAGACCCTATTTTGAAATAAGGTCATATGCTGAGGTTCTCAGGGGATAGGTGTTTTTGGGGCACATGATTCAACCCACTACACAAGGGAGAAATTCCATCAGAAAAATTCATGACTCATCCTGGATAAAACAACAGACATATTATGGGAGGCATCAATGAGCCGAAGTCAGGCTATCAGAGAATTTCCTTGCAGAAGCAGTGTGTATATGGGAGAAAAATTTTCCAAAAATTTTTTTGGGGACAACTACTTTTTGGGAATATATGATGAAAAGAAAACTTTTGGTAACAAAGTTTTCATGAGGAAAAGTAAGTGGCATAGAAATGTTTTTGTCACACAAGTGTACCTCACTTATACAATACTCCCAGAAAGTTCATTCATTTAATAAATATTCATTGAATACCAACCTTGTGCCAAACACTATTATAGGAAGAACAAGACAGACAATGTCTCTGATCTCATGGAAAAAAGACAAAAATGAACAAGTATAAAAATCAAGATAAATCAGCAGTGATACATGCTATAATGAAAATCAAGTCTCCAATAAAATGTTGTGTGACAGTAGTGAGAGCAGACATCCTTGCCCTGACATTCGGGGCAAACATTCAGTTTTTTACCATTATATATGATGTTGGCTATCGTTTTTCATAAATAAGTTTTATCAGGTTGAGGACGCTCTTTCCTATTCTTAATTAACTGAGTCTTTTTTTCAATGTATGAAAATTTCCTTGATCTTTTATTTCAGTCTTTCCCATTTTAGAGAGATTTTTATTTTCATTTTACATGAAAAGTTTTATTGAGGTGAAAGTCACATAACATGTAATTCACCTTTTTTATCTTCAACTTTTCTTTTAAGTTCAGGGTGCCTGTACAGGATGTGCAGGTTTGTTACATAGGTAAACGTGTGTCATGGTGATTTGCTGCATAGATCATCCCATAACCTGAATACTAAGCCCAGCATCCATTAGCTATTCTTCCTGATGCTATCCCCGCCCCACACACACACACCCTTCTCACCAACAGGCCTCAGTGTGCATTGTTCCTCATCATGTGTCCATGAGTTCTCATCATTTAGCTCCCACTTAAAAGTGAGAACATAAGGAGTTTGTTTTTCTGTTCCTGCATTAGTTTGCTGAGGATAATGGCTTCTGACTCCATCTATGGCCCTGCAAAGGACGTGATCTCATTCCTTTTTGTGGCTGTACAGTATTCCATAGCATATATGTGCATTTTCTTTATGCAGTCTATCACTGATGAGTATTTGGGTTGATTCCATGTATTTGCTATTGTGAATAGTGCTACATTGAACACAGGTGTGTGTGTGTCCTTATAATGAAATGATTTATATTTTTGGGGTATATGCCCAGGATTTGAATAGCTGAGTCAAATAGTATTTCTGCCTGTAGGTCTTTGAGGAATCACCACACTGTCTTCCACAATGGCCGAACTAATTTATGCACCCACCAACAGTGTAAAAGCGTTCTTTCTGTGCAACCTCACCTGCATCTGTTGCTTTTTGACTTTTTAATAATTGCCTTTCTGACAGGCATGGGATGATATCTCATTGTGGTTTTGATTTACATTTCTCTAATCATTAAAGTTGAGCTTTTAAAAATATATTTGCGCCGGGCACGGTGGCTCAAGCCTATAATCCCAGCACTTTGGGAGGCCGAGGTGGGTGGATCATGAGGTCAAGAGATCGAGACCATCCTGGTCAACATGGTGAAACCCCGTCTCTACTAAAAAGACAAAACATTAGCTGGGCATGGCGGCGCATGCCTGTAATCCCAGCTACTCAGGAGGCTGAGGCAGGAGAATTGCCTGAACCCAGGAGGCGGAGGTTGCAGTGAGCCGAGATCGCGCCATTGCACTCCAGCCTGGGTAACAAGAGCGAGACTCCGTCTCAAAAAAAAAAAAAAAAAAAAAAAAAAAATATATATATATATATATATTTGTTGGCTGCAAGTATATTTTCTTTTGAGAAGTTTCTGTTCACATCCTTTGCCCATTTTTTAATGCGGTTGTTTTTTTCTTGTAAATTTGTTTAAGTTCCTTGTAGATGATGGATATTATACCTTTGTCAGATGGATAGATGGTAAAATTTTTCTCCCATTCTTTAGGTTGTCTGTTCACTCTGATGATAGTTTCTTTTGCAGTGCAGAAGCTGTTTAATTAGATCCCATTTGTCAATTTTTGCTTTTGTTGCAATTGCTTTTGGAATTTTCATCATGAAATCTTTGCCTGTGCCTATGTCCTGAATGGTATTGCCTAGATTTTCTAGGGTTTTTATAGTTTTTAGTTTTACATTTAGGTCTCTAATCCATCTTAAGTTAATTTTTGTGGAAGGTGGAAGGAAGGGGTCCACTTTCAATTTTCTGCATATAGCTAGCCAGTTTTCCCAGCACTATTTATTAAATAGGGAATCGTTTCCCCATTGCTTGCTTTTGTCAGGTTTGTTGAAGATCAGACAGTTGTAGGCATGCAATCTTATTTCTGAGTTCTCTAATCTGTTCCATTGGTCTATGTCTATGTCTCTGTTCTTATACTACTACCATGCTGTTTTGGTTACAGTAGCCTTGCAGTGTAGTTGAAGTTGGATAGTGTGATGCCACCAGCTTGGTTTTTTTTGCTTAGGATTGTCTTGGCTATTTGGGCTCTGTTTTGCTTCCATACAAATTTTAAAATAGTTTCTTTTAAGTCTGTGAAGAATGTCAATTGTAGCTTAATGGGAATAGCATTGAATCTTTAAATCACTTTGGGCAGTATGGGCATTTTCATGATATTGATTCTGTCTATCCATGAGCATGGAATGTTTTTCCATTTGTTTGTGCCCTCTAATTTATTTGAGCAGTAGTTTGTGGTTCTCCTTGAAGAAGTCCTTCACTTCCCTTGTTAGCTGTATTCCTAGGTATTTTATTCTTTTTATAGCAATTGTGAATGGGAGTTCATTCATGATTTGGCTCTATGCTTGCCTGTTGTTGGTGTATAGGAATGCTAGCTATTTTCGCACAGTGTTTTTGTATCCTGAGACTTTACTGAAGTTGCTTACCAGCTTAAGAAGCTTTTGGGCTGAGATGACTGGGTTTTCTAGACATAGGATCATGTCATCTGCAAACAAAGATAATTTGAAGATAAATTCCTCTCTTCCTATTTGAATATCCTTTATTTCTTTCTCTTGCCTAGTTGCCCTGGCCATAACTTCCAATATTATGTTGAATAGGAGTGGTGAGAGAGGGCATCCTTGTCTTGTGCCAGTTTTCAAGGGGAATGCTTCCAGCTTTGCCTGTTCAGTAGTTCTGTTTACATGATGAACCACATTTATTGATTTGTGTATGTTGAACCAACCTTGCATCCTAAGGATCAAGCCAACTTGATCGTGTACGATAAGTTTTTTGATGTGCTGCTAGATGCAGTTGGCCAGTATTTTATTGAGGATTTTTGCACTGATGTTCATCAGGGATATTGGCCTGAAGTTTCCTTGTTTTTGTTGTATCTCTACCATGTTTTGGTATCAGGATGATGCTGGTCTCTTAAAATGAGTTAGGAAGGGGACTCTTCTATTTTTTTCTAATAGTTTCAGTGGAGATGGTACCAACTCTTCTTTGTACCTCTGGGAGAATTCAGCTGTGACTCTGTCCGGTTCTGAGCTTTTTTGTTTTATTATCTCAATTTCAGAACTCATTATTAGTCAATTCAGGGATTTGATTTCTTCCTGGTTCAGTCTTGGGAGGGTGTGTGTGTCTAGAAATTTATCCATTTCTTCTAGATTTTCCACTTTATGTGCACAGAGGTATTTATAGTATTCTCTGATGGTTGTTTGTGTTTCTGTGGGGTCAGTGGTGATATCTCCCTTATCATTTCTGACTGTTTTTATTTGATTCTTCTCTCTTTTCCTCTTTATTAGTCTAGCTAGTGGTCTCTTTTATTGATTTTTTTCAAAAACACAGCTCCTGAATTTTTTTATTTTTTTTTTTCAGGATTTTTCATGTCTCCATCTGATTCAGTTCCACTCTGATCTTGGTTATTC